CATACTCAGTTTTGCCCCCGCTGTATTTTTAAATACGCAGTAGAGGTATTTAAAGGTAGTTGAGGACATGTACCTGTATATAAAAAACGCGCCCTATAGTCCGGTGCGCCTTATGTGTGTGTTAAATACAGAAATGGCACACATAACTGAGACTGCGCCTTTTAATACGGTGCGCCTTATGGTCGTGAAAATACGGTAGTTAAAAAAAATGAGTTGTGCTACAAGCTTGTCCATAGAGCACAATACAAGCACTTGCCACACTAACTGGACAGTTTCTGATATGGTGTCCAGTGGTTCCACAGCGATAACAGGCATAGTTCTCTGGTAGGACAGGGCACAGCTTGGAGTTCATCCTACAAGGAAAAGGAAAACATGGACAGGGTATGTTACACAGAAAACTGAAAAAAGCAATACAAATATTTGGTTAAGATTAATAATTAAGATGAAAATCTAAAAGATCACTCACTTCATCATATCACAGCTTGACTGATTCATCATTACTTTGATCTTATCTTCTTCTGAGACATCAGATTCCGCTAAATTAGCCAACTGCATCTACATAAATAAATTAGATAAACAAAAAAGAAAATAAGTTTTTTAGTTTTTTAATTTAAACCGAAAACCCCTTTTAAAATGTCATTGTAAAAATAGGCATACCTTGGAGAAAAATGACAAAGCCCTAGTAGAACTCGAGTCACTAGCCTGTTAAAGTGGAAAAAAGAAAGAGTGAATAAAATAGTTAAATATAAAAAAATAAATTGACAATCTTCCTTTAAATTAATTATGTATTTTTTAACTGAATGTGAATAAAATAAAATCGACTCTTCTGAACTAGCAAATGACAAAACTGACAACTAAAACACCTAGATTCTGGAGAAGCTATTGAAAGTTCCAAGTTAATGTCAGGTTACCATGGCGGTGCTCCGAGGCAGCGGCCAAGAACAGCTCCTCTGTACAATTTCGCAAAATATAAGCTTAAAACGATATAAACTAGAAAACAAACCAGCATGTATGATCGCCAATGCCTACTGAATGTACGGTCACAAAATGTTTTAAATACTGATATTTTTGACCGTTTAAAAATCTGCAGAGTGCTACGGACGGATGTAAACAGCGGAAAATTACAGACATAGGAAGAGATGCGTGAGACGGAGAAAGCGGAGCTGCAGAAGGGGGCTAACTAAAGAGAGATCCCCACAGACCACCACTTCCACCAATCCTGCTCTCCAACGTCCACTCATTGCAAAACAAAATGGATAATCTACGACTGGAGCCCTCTTCAAAAAAGGAGATCTGTAACTGCTGCGCCATCATTCTGAAGGAGTCTTGGCTGCATCCAGCAATACCAGACAATGCTTTTAGCCTGGAGGGGCTAATGGTATGCCGTCCCGATAGAAACAAAGAACTCTGTGTGAATGGAAACTCCTCTGAGACTGTTCCCAAGCAGTCTTCAGCATGTAGAAGGGAAGCGCAGCGCTCTGCAGGTGAAAATGAGGAGAGCACTCTAGATGCTTTCCTTCTAAATGCTGAAACATCCCCGGCCGGCTCCTCCCGGCCCCCTCCGGCTTCCACACCTTCTCCAGCATCGTCTGTCGCTGCCAAACCTACTGATGGCACCACTGCTGCTTCAACCACATCAGCCTCTTCAACCCAGGGGACAACCACCCGCACAGCATAGCCATCATCGTCCTCTTCCTCCTCTGAGCCAGGAGAGGCAATTGCTTCAAGAGCTGGAGGCAGTAATAGCAGCTCAACAACCACCAGCGTCTCAGTAAAAGAAATATTGTTAAGAGCTCCATATCATTTATATGGGACCACTGGAGTTTCTGGCTCCAGAGACCTCTTGCATAACGGCCCTCGTGGATTCCTCCCCATCCTGACAGGGTCGCGTCCGAGGTGATAACCTTCTGTGAGACCAACGAACCTAGCGGCATACCCTGTTTTAAGAAGCCTGTGTGGCGCCAGGGGTGCAAGGCCCCAACACACTCTGTTGTCACCGCCACACTCCATGCAACCTGTCGCACAGGGCAGAGTCTTAGCGCAGCTACACAACGGTGAAATCCTCTCATGTGCAGATGGCCGAGGGGAACAACGTGGATGACGTAACCCATAAATCCAAGAAGCCGAAGCCATAATCTGAAAGGGACTGGTCTGAATAGGTGAAACAAAGCGAGACAGGATTCCAGCGTGTCCACCCTGTTGGCTGACAGATGAGCGGTGAACAAAACCAAGTCCAGTACTAATCCAAGAAAGATATTTTGTGCTGGGACTAACACGCTCTTCTTGTAATCCAATACAAAACCCAGATCGAGTAGGTGCTGAACGAGTTATCTGTGTTTGCCTTACAGCCTCTTTGTGATTGTGCTAGGAGGAGACAATCATCCAAATAAGTAACCAAGCAGATGCTCCGCTTCCTTAATGGAGCTATAGCTGCTTTGGTAGTGCCCAAACACTCACACACTGCGTTTGTAACAGACGCCCTGAAAAGCAAATCGCAGATTATTCCTGTGTGGTGGGTACACGGAAACCCGCCGCAATGAATCAGACATAATGGGGATGCATGCTTGAGCATCCTGAATTTGTACTTTCTGAGACAACTGTTTAGGGCCCTGAGATCAAGGATCGGGCGAATCCCTCTCCCTCTTTTCGGGATCCGAAAATACCTGGAGTAGAAGCTGATGTGACACTACTCCAGTGGAATGGGCCTGATTGCTCCTTTCTTTAGCAGTGGAGAGATTTCCTCCTGGGGCGTGCGGACAGATTATCCCCAAGCTTGAGTGTAAATTATGCTGAAAAATGGAGAGGGTACCCTGGCAAACTGAAGCCGATAACCACTCGTTATAGTCCGTTGAACCCAGGCTGACGTTGCGGGGGAAGCTCACCTGTGTTAAGCTCAGAGAGACATCCCAAGGGAGTCTCCCTCCAACCTTAAAAGATGGCTCATGGGGCCCCCTGGCAGTGGAGCAGAGTTGTTGCCAATCGATGGTACTGCGCATGTGCAGGGGATAATGTTTTTGTGGATTCGAACCCAATCCGCTGTGTGCCAGGAGCAGGCATTCCCTCCAGGAGTGGAGATGTGATTATATACCAGTTTATATTCTTTTTTTTTATATCTTCATCTGCACCCTTGACCTTATGTCTGGATGCAAAAGGGGAAGCATGTTTTATTTTCATTTCTGAACAAGTTATTGTGATTGTGCAACTTTGGATTCAGGTTGAGCCAACTTGCTCTTTCCTGTACAACCATCCTCCCTTGATTGTCCTATGGCCTGGACTGGTCAGTGCAGCACGTGGATTCAGATGTCAGTTATTACGCTGATTTCTTCCCACGTGTCCGGGTCCAGCTTGGTGGCCATGTCCTCACACAGTTCAGCTTGGTACACAGAGAGCATGGAGGACACGATAAGATCTCTCACAGCCACTGCTAATGCACTATAAGCTCTCTCCATCGAGGAAGACTGGAAACTGTCTGCTTTGGATGGCAGTGTGGGGTTCTTCGAGAAGATTGGTAGCTATGGGTGCAGGTGTGCTGTCACCAGCGATTCCACTGGGGGCATACGGTGGATGCCCCATTGTTCCATGCCCTCGCAATCCAGACAGGAAGCTCCCTGAATTGGAGTTTTCCCACAAAATGGACGGTCCTTCCAAGAGAACTCTCTTGTCTAAGAGCTCTGGGAAAACAGGAAGCAACTATTTGGCTGCCTGAGTGGTCTGGGGACATTTCTTCCCTTTGTAGCGTGATCTGATGGTCATTGTAACTACCTCGGGCCAGAGGATGTTGAGCCTGGATGCAGCATGTTCGCACCCTGTCTGCATCTCTTGCTCATAGTGGGGGAAGCTGTAGCACTCCCCTCGCCTCCCCGGTGAGCCAACAGGGTTTCCAGCTTTGCAGCCCGATCCAAAAATTCTCGCATGACAGGCATATCAGCCCGACAAGAGCATAGAAACACCCATTTTCTTACAGAAGCCAAAGTTTTCCAATATAAATCAATTTTACATGTTTTCTACCACAGCATAGAGAAAGCGTTACGCCCTCTCTAACAGAGCCGAAGACAAGGGAAAATTCAGGGGACTGCGTTTCTTCATCTATCATAAGATCTGAACCTGTAAAGGTAGCAGCTACCAGGGAGTGCAGATGGACGGCAGCTCACAACTCAAACACTTTCTCTCATGAGACCTATATAAAATTTATTATACTGCAGGAACAGTATGACAAAACACTTCAGCAGTTTTGCAACCGGGACTTTTTCTTACTGCAGTATAACTTGAAACCAGTAACGAGCTCATGCCTAGTGATGTAGAAGTCTAACTAAACGTTTTTGCTTCCACCAGAGAAAGCACGATGGCAGATTTGACGAGGCCCCTGAAGTATTCCTCTACTGTTAAGGGCATTAACTTCCCCCACATAGAGGTGATATTCCACATCCCCATACAAGTTTAAGTATCAAGCAGTGGGTCAAAGAGGCTTCCACCTCCAAACACTACACAATCCTTTAAGTACCAGTCAATTAGAGTTCCCTTTCTAGGTGGTGGGCCTTCTGGGGAATGGCCAAACATTTGTTGCTAAAAAGCCCCAACCCCATGCCTGGCTCCAGAATGAGGCTCCTGGCTCTGCCATAACGGTAGACTTCACTAGTCATGATGTCGTCTTCATGAAGGCTTTTAAACTACACTTTGTATAACCCATTATCTCAATTTTTTTTGCCATGGAAGACCCTACCAGGGGAATTTCATCCCAGATAAGTAGCCTCACAGATTAGCAGAGCCCTTAAACCACCTTACCATGTTATTGCGGCAGTTCCAGTTTGAGTAGTTTGCGTTGTCCTAAGTGTGGCTTAGGTCACTTTCACGAAAGCTATTCTCTTGATTTAGAATGATAATTTATGATTCTATTAATTAGGACAATTTTTTTATAGATTAGAAATCATCATCTGGCAAATAGAAATCCTAATGTCACTTTTAGTTATTTAATTCTCCTATTTGTAAGTTAAGGTGAAGAGAGGACATAAGCCTTGGACATCTGAGCTAGCCAGCCTGTTGTGCCAAAGGAACTAGATTTAGGGCTTGAGGAGAAAATTTAGAGAGAATTCTGGTAAAAAAAAGAAAAAAAAGAAAAGCCAAACTGAAATACAATTTCTCCAAAATGACAGCTCATCTAAGAAAAATATGAAAATTTGGGGCAAATTACAAAATCAATTTCCAACTGCTAGTAAACATCAACTCCATCATCCATGCCTTTTACTCTCTGTTGTAAACAGATGCCACCCTAATAAATGCTATATTTGCACACGCATTTTACCTTTAGTTTTGTCACTGATCCAGAGCTCACTATGGCAAAAATATGTTTTGTCCCCTTTCAGATACATTTAGGTAACCCCAGTGTATGCCTTGAGCAGCAGGAGCAGCTAGTTTACATGTAAAGTCTATGGTTGATCCGAGTCAAGGCACGTCCAAAAGGTTCTGCAGTGTATTTCGAGCAGCTGGAGCATTGGATTTTGAAGGAATTCAACCAGCTGGAGCATAATGAGCATTTAAGCACTTGAGGCGCTTCACAAGCAGCTGACGCATGAGCTGGAAAAGCAGAACTTTTGTTGCTCTATGCGCCACAACAACTAATCCAAGACAAGATCCCCTATGTGGTGTTGGTTTCCTGTTAGGCACTGATGCACTCTGGCAGGTTCTCAAACAGTGCTTGGGTGAAACTAAAATAGCTCTGCAAGTGACTCTCATCAGCACGTAGCTCCTGAAGTAGGTGATGAAACTCTATAAAATGAACACCTCTGAAGTATCTGGTGAATCCAGACATTGCTAAGATTCACGATGACGGTATTTACTAGCTTTAGTTAGAGAAAGCAAAACCAATCTTTCAATTTTATCAGACAATGTACACGATACAGGCAAAGAGAAGATGCTAGCTCCTCCCAAAGGGCATCAAACCCTTTATGACACACTTTGCTCATGTGTGACGAGAGCATCAAAGATGCAATCCATGCGCATCTGAGCTTAAGGTGGACAAGCATCAAAGATGATGAAGCAGATGATTGTTTGCTGTTCAGCCATTTTTGGTGTGAAAACATTATCAAAAGTTATTGAAGTACAGTTTTTAAAATCCAAATGTCTCTAACTTGCAAAGTAGAAATCTAAACAAAGTAATCTCTTTTGAGTTTACAATGATCTTTAGATTCCTCCTACAGTGCAGCCTTTATGGGGATTGGTGGTCTAGTGGTTAGAGCATTGTGCTTGGGTCCCAGAGGTTCTGAGTTCAAGCCCCACACACTCCCACGGTGCGACACTCTGGGTCCCTGAGCAAGACCCTTAACCCCAGACTCCCCGGGCACCACGCAATGGCAGCCCACTGATCCCCAAGGGGATGGGTTAAATGCAGACATTGAATTTTCCCATTGTGGGACAATAAAACATTTTCATGTATTTTTATTAATTTTATAACAGTAACCATAAAATTGTTATTACTATGCTGAAGGTTTAGCTGGTAACTATTGTTTTTCTATTTTTGTTAACAAGATCCCTTCAGGGATTGCCTCCCTCAACTGTGGGGTTTCACAGAGGTTATTTCTTGTTCCATTTTTATTTGTTTTTTTTTTTAACCATCATTCACTTTTTCAATATAATTTCTTTATGCAGATGATATTCAGCTGTATATGAATTTTAAGCTCCAGCTGCTGACTAGGTAATCCACCCTAAGGATACCTTTTTTTTTCTAGAAGTGCATCCTAGAGTGCAAGAAATGGAACAATCCAAAGTTGGGGTCTAAGATGTCACAGCTTACATTGCTTGTAAAAAAAGAAAAGAAAAAAAAAGCTTGGGACAATGATTATACCTTCTTTTCATTTAAGCAAGATTTCTAGGCTGCGACATATGGTCTGTTAAGCTAAATTGGAAAGAATAATCCACGCATTTGTGTAATCGTATTTATTACAGTTCCCTGTTAATTGGTTTGGATGTATCATCCGTCTTACGCCCTTAACCCATAAAAAAAAGGCTGCAGACAGACTACCTGCATGTTTTAGAAAGCCAGCTCACACTTCCGTCAAATATTCTTTACAATGGCTACCAATAGATTTAAGCCTGTATTTCACGTTCTTACACTAACATGTAGGGATTATTTATCTAATGTTTTAAGAAAATATACTACTACCAATTAACTTTATTTAAAGGAACAGAAATGTCAAGTTGTTCCTCACACCTTATTTAAGATCAAGAGGGACCGAGCTACAGTTCGTGACACCAAGGCAGTGGAAAAGTCTTCCTGTTCAGATTCATTTAGTTAGCCTTCTGGATTCTGTTAAAAAGGAGTTTAAACCCTCCTTTAAACAACCATTCTGTTGAATGTTTGTTTTCATTGTTTGATAGTATATCGTATTATTTCTTTAAATGTATTATATTGATTTTCTGTACAATGTTCTGAAACATCTACCAGTGCCATGCTCAACTACCTGACCAGAAAAGAAAATCGACAATCTTACAGATCCAAGTCAATTTATTCAACAAAGCAAATAGCCAAAATAGAAAGCCAACAAAAAAAAGAAAATACCCCCTTCAGAGTAACAATCCAAACCATATGCCAGGTCATCTTATCCGGACAGTTGGGAGGAAATAGCCATGAGCCACTTACAAGGGATTATTCATGGTAGTGTCTCTTGACATTTTGTGAATCCAGACCAATTCACTTCTTACGTAGATGACCAGTGCGACTGACCCCTTGACCATAACTCGTTCCAAGGACAAACACCTTGAACAATATCAACAACATGAGCCTAGCAGCGACCCTCTGAGTAAAGCAGTATGAAGATGAAAAGTTTATCCCTTTTGGCGACGAAATGTAGAAGGGTTAATCCAGCGTATCACCCCTGATCTTGGAAGCTGATCTATGGATTACTGTCTTCGAAGACTACACAGCAGGGTAGAAATATATTGTTTGTAGGTAATTTGGTGGATTTGATGGCATTCATTTTACCTTCCTAGACTCAAACCTTGCAGACTGAGAACATTGTTCCACATAGCACGAAATGTCGGTACTTTGAAATGTCTAAATAAAGTAATTGACAAAAAACAACCAGGAATATCTTAGGGAGCAGCCAAGTTGTCAGAGACACACACAATAACTTGTTCTGACAAAGATGCATTGTGGAGAGACCACTGTGTGAAAGGAGTGTGGACAGAAAATGTAGGGTAGTCTCAAAGACACACATTGGCACACATTGGTTTTCCTCAAGGGCATTGGCGAAAGCGTCTTACATCACCCGAATTACAAGATCAAAAAGATAAGGAAGCGGAAGAGGATAAAACTGTAACAAGCCGCCTACTTAGACATCAGCTGGCAGAAATGGACTTGGAAGCCAACGAAAACCAGGTAAAAGTGAAAGAGATGGTTCCAAAGCCTATTGACATAGAGGCCCCTTCAACGGCCATCTCAGATGCACTGGGATAAAAGAGATTGCAAGGAAGAGAATCTCTTATAAACCCCTGCACGCCCCTCCTCCGAAAAAAAAAAAAAAGGCAGGGTAGCACTAGATACCTCCCCTGGGATGATTGTGGTGTCTACATTAAACTACAACAACCTAAGAGTTGGAACAGAGGGCGTAGGAGGGGTTCCACTTGCATATCACCAGAAAAATACCAAAAGACGCCTGAATTTCAGATACCCATATTCCTAGTTACGCAAAATGACCATGTCCTTTATTCAGGGCAGGTCAGGATTTTCCACAATTAACTGAGCTGTGTTGACCTGCATTGTTAACTGTAAGCTGTAAGTCCAGATGGAAGATATATGTGCAACCTATTTTTCTATATGCACACAAGGCTTACCAGAGTTGGACTTTGTGGGACACAAGGAAAGCAGTTTTTGACAGAACCATCGGCAGTGAGAACTACTGTATATCCATTTCTATAAGTTTAAAGTTATGCCTTAACCTCTGCTAAAGAGACATGTTTAACACATTAGATGTATGTATTTATTATCCACATTCTGTTCATCAAAGACACAGAGTCTGAAACATACCACACTCCATTTTCACTAAGGACTAATTTACTTTTTGGGGTCAAGATCCCCTCACCAACTATTGAAATGCCCAACTTCAAAGCAATTGTTTTAAGAGTAGAAGCCTTGACTTTATACCCATGTCAACTACCCAATACACTCCATGACATACAAAATAAAGTGGTCAGACCTTGGGAAAAAGAAAACTATCCAACTCTCAGACAACACTGTGTTGGCCCATTCTAAGTTCAACAAGGAACAACTTTTCTGGTATATGTCGTTCATCAAACTTACTCCAAATATCTGTCTTGCCACAGGACAGTTTTGAAAACAAAAGTTTAGTTCCAAAAGTAAAGATGATTATCTCACATACTCTTACAGTTTCCCCCAAGATTTCCTACAATGCTGAAAATAACATTTGGAAAGTAAGATTGAATGGCTAAGATGTGCATATACCCGAAACATTTAAACCAAGCGGACTCCATAGACATAAAGCTACAGCTCATTCACATACTTCAATGCTCTTCCAGGTTATACTTAGCCACTAGGGCTGTGTTATCGATTTGAATTTGATCTAATCAATTTTCAATTTCCGAAGTTCAATTTATACAAACAAGGATCAATTACTTAAAGTAAATTTCT